TGTGTTGTTCGTACTCTTCGAAAATGTTGCCGCATCTGTGTTGGATCCAACACACTTTCCGTCGGTATTTTTGAAGAGTCCGAGCAACATAGCTCCCAGTTGGCGATTGTATCTTTTCCCTCAATTTCTATTGTTACATCAAACTTTCCTTATGGATAGGGTGTAGAAGTTTGAATTTTCTATTTTTTAGTTTAGTCATTTGTAATTTCCATTTTATGAGTATTGATTTGGGGGGGAACAGAGTTTTGCTCAGATTTTCTGATTGTTAAATGACATTCCACAAAGTATTTATTGTTATTTCAATTGTTTGATCAGATTTATTTGCAAGCACACTCAGCCTTGGAATTGGAATTAACTATGGCCAAATTGCAAACAATTTGCCAACACCCTCACGAGTCTCGTTTCTCCTCAGATCACTCAATGTTACGAGAGTAAAACTCTATGACGCTGATCCAAACGTGTTAACCGCTTTCGCTAACACGAATGTTGAATTTGTTATCGGACTTGGGAATGAGTACCTACAAAGAATGTCTGATCCTCAACAAGCTCAGGCTTGGATTCAACAACATGTTCAACCTTACCATACTCAGACTAAAATCACTTGTATTACTGTTGGTAATGAGGTCTTGACAGGTACTGATACGCAGCTGAAGTCTTACCTCCTACCAGCAATGCAGGGTGTGTACCGTGCTCTTGTTAATCTTGGACTTAGTAATGAAATATATGTGGCACATCCCCACTCGGCGGGGATCTTGGAGAACTCTTTTCCGCCTTCTTCTTGTTCATTTCGACAAGATCTTAGTGAATACATTCATGGCATGCTCAATTTCCATGTCCAAACTAAGTCGCCGTTCCTTATAAATTTCTATCCATTCTTTGCATACAAAGACAAACCCAACGAAGTTCCGCTTGATTATGTACTTTTCCAGCCTAACCAAGGTACGACTGACCCGATCACGAATTTGAAGTATGACAACATGTTGTATGCACAAATTGATGCAGTTTATTCAGCAATTAAGGCAATGGGCCACACAGACATTCCAGTTAAGGTTTCCGAAACTGGCTGGCCATCAAAGGGAGACCCGAATGAGTTTGGAGCAACACCTGAAAATGCTGCACTATATAACGGTAATTTGTTTCAGCGTATGCAGCAAAATCAAGGGACTCCAGCAAAGCCATCAGAGCCCATCGATGTTTACGTGTTTGCACTTTTTAACGAAAATTTAAAGCCTGGTCCAGCATCAGAGAGGAATTATGGTCTCTACTACCCTGATGGAACTCCAGTTTATAACATCGGGTTACGAGGGTTTCTTCCACGTATGGACTATTCAGCTGCTAAGAAAAATGTAAGGAATCTGTCATTTCTTGTTTCGTATGTCGACTATTACCTTATTTTCATCGGTTTTTATTAATTATTATAGTTGTGGTAACTCCAAAATTTGTTTTCAATAGTATGTTGAAATGTTGAATCTTGCATATTTTCTAACGCTATCCTTTTATTTTTACAGGCCTTCTTTATTTCTGCTTTTCTTCTGCTTATGATGATTTTCTTGATACACTTCTGAACGCTGTACGATAGATAAAATATGGAGATTAGAGATGATTCAATTTTTTCAGGAACTTCCACTGATATATATTAGACGGTAACAGGACTTCAAACCTCAAATTTCTCCTTATTTATGCTTTCGTTATTCCCTGAATTTTCTTGAATTAGTGTATTTTTTTAGGGGTGTTTGAGGCCATTAGTTTTCAAAGTATCTTATCCTCATTTTCCTTTAGTTTTTAGTAGTTAGGAGCTCCTCCTGAAATCCACGTTCCTCGAACTTAACAAAAGTGCTGCATCATTTTTGAAGAGTCTAAGCAACATAGCCTGAATTAACCATTATTAATAAACATGTGCGGCGTCGAAGTTATTTTCGTTAATTTGCATTTTTGTAAGTTGTAATGGATTCTTGGGATTTTAATATTCCAGTGATGGTCAACTGTTAATCACCTACTTTCTAGGATACCTTCCATTGTATCATTTCTTTATTGAAGATATGGTAATGTGTCTCATCAGCCTTATCTTCCCACTAGCAATCATGCATATGAATCTCATTTTACAAAATTCCCATCATCTTCATGAAGACAAAAGTCCATATTGGATTGTATATTGGTAAAGAAAGCCACCTTCTTTGAGTCCCATCTATCAACAAATTCCGAATTATTTCCCTCAGTCCCAATTTAGGGGTCTTACTTCCGTTTTTGGATTGTCCTGTTAAGAGTGACTCTTTCTATATTTAGCAAGCTTTTCCATTCCAACATTCTATGTAGCAAGTTTAAGACCAGAAGATTCATAAGTCGTTATTTGTTTCTTAAAAACGCCGTGAATAGATCAAACTAAGACACATAAATTGCAATGGAGGGAGTATTGTCAAGTGGAAAAGCTCATTAGTAATTGTGTGTACTAGTGAAACCCTGTATCTGATTAGGACTTCTTCTGCCTCTTTCTTTTTATCATTATTTTCGTAAGAATTTGTTGCATCAATCTGATGTGGAGCCATCAATATTGGTGTCACCTATCTGTCTTTTAGTTAATTCAAACTTGCATTTCTTTCAACCTCTACCTCCTTTTTTTCTTCTTTTCCCTATTTTATTAACATGTTCCTTATTCCACACACTTGCACAAGTTTTGAAATGAAATCCTCCCTGTCTGATTTCGCCAAGTAGCTACAAAAGCGGTCCACATATTAATATAGATTTTTTATATAGTGGGAGTCGGAGCAAAAATATATGTGTTTTGTATGTTCTTTGATGTGGAATTGATTGGTATTTATTATGTTGCTTGGACTCTTCAAAAATGTTAACGGTTGCGTGTCGAATCCTCCGAAGAACATAGGAGGATTCGACACAAATGCGGCAAAGTTCTGGAGAGTCTGAGCAACTTAAGATTTGTTATGTCAGGCTGTTCTCCCTGTGTATAGTGTGTTTGTATTTACACTTTCTTGCTTTCTTTTTTCCACGTAAGTCGGGAGAGGGGTCGGGGCATATAAGGGAAAAGATCTTTTTTTAGATTTTCAATTTTTGGTTGCCTTGTAGATAAAAGTATGTGCTTATAGAGAACTGATCTGGCATGATGGAAATTTCTTGTTGGCAATTCTTGAAAAAGTTGAAACTTTAACATCATGGAGCCCATAGGATACCTTTTCTTATATCAGCATTTGCTTAGAATGTGTAGATGAACTTTGACATTTTTCGCAACAAGAGTGTCAGGCTAATATTCCCACCGAGTTTGATTCCCCACTAGGCTGGATAAACCTTCACCACATCTAGTTAGTTATATAGAAACGATACTTTCTACCGGGTGCAGAGACATGTGTTACACAGTGTCACTCATTCATTATCGAACCGACTCCAAAATCCCACTAGAGCTCCTTTTATAGGCCATGAACTAGATCTGAATCATTCTCGTATTATTAAGAAGTGATTGACTATTGATTCTCCCGTAGGGAAGGTCTAGTCTATAATTATCTCCTTCTTGATCGAAGCTCTATGTCATGATCTTCTTGACACAACTGGGCAAGAACATGTTGTTTACAGAGGTCCTATAACATTGTGTCATATCATTGATACAAAATAAAGTTTTAGTCTTTGAATGTTTCTAGACACACCCCGCCTTCTACAAGACGTCTAGTGAATCGCGATATGAAAAACAGTACACTTTCAACACATTTAACTAATCTTTGACAACTAAACTTTCAAATTTGGCTGCTGAAATGTGTGATTCTTGTTATACTTTTCTGCAGATAATGATGTGGTTTCTTAGTCTTGATACAATTAATCTAATAACTTGTTTATTATTATTATTTTTCGCAGGTAGTCGTAGACGACGCAGTTTTTATTATCTTCTGTTTCACATTTTGCTAACTCTGCTGGAAAAATTTGCTTATTGGAGATGAAGGTCATGATCAATAGAGACATTGTGTATTCATACCAAAAAAAGAAAAGAAAAAAAAAATAGAATTTATAGAGACTCAGAAAAAAAAGAAAAAAAAGTAGTTTGTTTAACTACTTTTATTAGTTGAATAGTTGATTCATTTTACAAAATTTTAATAATAAGAACAGAAATATATTTGTCTGGCAATAGTTGTCATCCCATTATTATTATTTGAATTATAATAAGGGAAATATTATTGTGCTGATGTATATGATTGATTATGACTTATATTTGCTGTTTTTTAATCAACTTGTAAGCTTGTAGGGCTACTTCTGATTCAAAAGAATTTATCGAGAGTTAATTTAATTAATTTTTAAAATAAATTTTTACTATTGTATTGTTGGTTCAAAATTGAGTTTAGTTCAATTATCTACAGAACACATGCAAATTTTTTAAATAATTCAAATTGTTGTAACTTTATTTTTTTGATTTAAATTTTAAAATTTTCTTATAATGACTTTTTAATTAATTAGGTGTTTTAATAATACTTCTTTTTATCACAAATTGGTTCTCTTGATTTTAAAAAGAAATGGTTTGTTTTTTCAAAGTGTTTCTTGTTTTAGAAATGTAAGACGAGATTAATGAACATGAATTAATTATTTAATTTTCTTGTGTTGATGAAATTCAAGACTAATAACTCGCAAAAGTAAAATATGAAGAATATTTTTATTTATGTATTATTTTTTGAAAATGATAAGTATTAAGAAATATTTATTTTTAGTTAGATCGACATATAAATATGAACAGATGAAGTAATGTCTTTTAAAGCCATAAACATCTCAAAATTTAAAATTAGTATTTAGTGATGAGAGATATAAGATATAAATATTTCAATGGAACACTTCGACTCTTATAAATAATAGTATCAATTAGACGCTATTAAATCAAATTTGGATATTTATTTTTTACATGTGTTAAAATTTTAATTTATGAATTTTGAATTTTTTAAGTTTTTAAATTTATAATTTCTATATATTCAATAATTTTTTTAAGAGAAATTTGAATTAGAGCTACACGAAATACAATCGAAATTATAATCAATAAGCTAGCTCCGCCCTTGCTTGTTAACCTTGATCATCGTAATAACTAATTACGAAAGAAATTTCTTAAAAACCTATTAATCTGATAATGAAAGTAAAGTCGATTATAATTTAAATGTCTAAATAAAATATTTCGATAAATTTAGGACTAACCATGTATTAAGCCATTTAATTAATCATTTCTGTAAGATTCAATTTCTTCGAGCTGCCATTGCAGTGTCACTTTGGGGGAGAAGATGGATCGGTCGAAGCAAGTAGATCCTCATGGCTTAGAAGCTTCACTCATTCGAATCATCAACTCCCACCATTCTTCATCTCTCAAGCTCCGTGAATCCACCGGTCAGTAACTAATACATAAATTTATTTCAATTCAATGTTTTTTTTTAGCATTTGGTTTCTGGGTTTCTCGAATTTTACAAAATTGAGTTGTGGGTTTCTGGAATTTTTCGAATTGAGTTTCTAGGTTTTTGAATTTTGCAAAAGTGGGTTGTGATTTTCTCGAGTTTTGCAAAAGTGGGTTGTGATTTTCTCGGATTTTACGAATTGGGTTATGGAATTCGTGGAATTTTACGAATTGGGTAGTGGGTTTCTTGAATTTTACGAATTGGGTTGTGGGGTTGCTGGAATTTGACAAAATTGGGTTGTGGGTAATTTGATTCAGAGAAGGCGAAGAAGGATGGGATTCGTAATGCAAGGCGGGTTTCGGAGCTGCTGGTGGATTCAGTGAATAGAGAAGTACAAGAAGCGTTTGTAATGGAAAAGAGGATTGAAATGGAAATTCGTGCTTTAACTGCAAGCATTTTTCGATTTGGAAAGCAAACTGATCAATGGCTTGCTGCTTCACACTCTATCAATACTGCAATTAAGGTCAGTCCATGTTGCTAGCTATTTGTGTTTATGTTTATTCAAGATTGATTTTTTCTGATGAGTGTGTAGCTTTTAGGCTCTAATATCCAGCTAAAATAGATATCACCTCGACTAAGTTCCGCCGAGTAGAAAACTGAAAAAGCTAGGTGATTTCTTTCCGTTTGTGTATGTTTTGATGGACAAAGTTAGTTCGTAGTTGGCCTCGTATGAGGTAGCAAGATGTGCACAAGTTGATTCAGATATCACAGTTTCAGCTTGTTTTTGTAGAACTAGGAAGTTCAATTATAAAGCACGAGCCTCATCGTAGACTGTTGGATCGACTTTTAAACCTTTATCCTAAGGTTCTTACGAATATGAAGCATGAGTTTGTTCCGGTGTTTCAAGAACTGTCTTGATCATTCTGATCTGATTTCAGAGCAAAATGCCTTGAACTCTTGACTATCATACTCTCCTCCATTGTCAAACTTCAGATAGTGAGTGTGTTTCACCTTATGCAGTTTTGATATTTTTTATACATACAATACTATCACATGCACTATTCACGTAAAAGAAACAAGGTAAATGTCAGAACGCAAAGTCCGAAAGAAAGAAAATGGATACATAATTTGGGTGCGTGCATAAATTTTCTTTTTGCATATTCATCTCTTAAGAGGAAATTTACAGCTGATCTCTTTGCCTATAAATAGGCATCCCCCACTCCAGTTGAACATTATCCCTTCAACATTCTCTTCTTTTGATAATAAAGTCATTCTATGTGTGGCCTTGGAGGCAAAAATGGTCGAACCACATGGTAAGAAAAAAGAGATGAGATGATTTACAACTTAGGAAGGGGTTGCCTTCTATAGGCAGAGAAATCTACTGAAAATTTCCTCTAGAATATGAACATACAAGATGGAAGTAGGTAGCTGATTAACTTAACTATTAAGATTCTCCCGGGTATTATATTTTCCTACAATTGAACTTAGGCGAGTTATAGTTAATCCCAATTGAAAAGGAATCTTTGAGCAAACGGTCTGCACTAGTAAAGTCATCTCCCTGTGACTTATAGGGCACATATTCAAGCTGTGGAATCAACCATTAACATTTGCATCAGTGTAGGTTGCCTACCTCATACCCCTTAAGGCGGACCTTTTCCCGGATCCTGTGTAAATGCACAGTGCTTTGTGCAGCGACTTGTAATAATTTTTATTTTTTGATGATTAGGGAAACCTGCAGCCGCTACCCTTTGGGTGCGCACAGGGGTTTGCTTCTATGCAATAGCTCGCAAACCACATAGGAGAGTTAACCCGCACTAGGTAAGCCTAGTACGACGAGCTCGACCCAGAAGGCAAACCCCTTGCTGGCGACAGCAAGGGGTTTCGAACTTGAGACCTCCAACATGGAAGTCCCAAGCTCATACCACTGGGGAAGGGTAATATTCTTTAATAGCCGACAACAACTAGATGAGGCTGAGTCGTACTTGTTTCTATTGAAATGACATGTTTCTATGCAGTGGAAACTGTGTTTTTTTTTCCATATTGATAGTTCATGTAACGTTATCCAATTTCATAGAGGCATAGATGATATTAGTCGTTTATACATTGTTGATATATGTAGCTTCAATATTTTACTTTATTTTTGGCACAGGAAATTGGAGACTTTGAGAATTGGATGAAGACTATGGAGTTTGATTGTAAAAGTATTAATGCTGCAATCTGCAATATTCACCAAGAATGACATTTGAACCTGAATTATCATAGGCCTGTGATTAGTATATGGTTTATATCATGTCATTTGAGTGTACAGAATATTCTTTTTGCATGAATGACAATGGAATTACATTTATTTCTGTACAACAACTTGTGTACTTATTCTTCTATGTTGTGTAAAATCTTTGAAAAACTTGTAAAAGAATTTAATTGATTGGTTCTTTTGATCCACGTATAACTCTCATACTTTGCTTAGGAGGTCACTGATAATTTGGGTCGATGCTCTTTGTATATTGCACTTTTTCTTCTTTTTTTTTTCCTTTTGGTTTTATTGAAACTGAAGCTATTATTGTATCATTATTCATGAGCTATTACACATTCTTTCAAGGGTGAATACATTTTTTACATGAAAAAAAACATCTACCTTCGTCTTATATTCCATAAGAACGAACTCTAAGAAAAGAGAAAGATTTCATCCATCAAACGGAACTTAAAATGAGGTAGTAAAAATCAAGACTCATACGAATACCTAGGGTGACAATTTCACCCCATATTAATGAAATGAGTTCATTTTGTCGGTATTTAATGATTTTGATCACTCATATTTTAATTGGTTAAACATGGGCTTCAAGTTATTTTAAGAGTCTCTAAAAATATGATCAAAATGACTCCATAGCTAAAGCCTTGACCGACGTTCACAAAATTTTTTGACAAAAATAACGTCGGAATTTTGAATCACTAAGAAGATGATGAACGATAGCGCACGAAAATCAACAAAATGAGGGATTTACCTGCTTTGGGTCTCATATGACATTGTAAATGGGGTGTTTTGGCCGTCAGGGCCAACTGACTTCATAGCTAAGGTCTTAAAAGAATCCGCAAAATCAACTTCTTTTTAAATTTTCGAAAAACAAAAAAGCTTGGGGTAGATTGGTGAAAGATAGGGGCGGAGGCACCCGGGGAAAGGGGTAATTTTTTTTTAAAAAAATAGATTTTTTAATTGGATTGGGAACCATATTACGCAAATCATATTTGACAAAATTCATATTTTCTCATATTCTATTTGTGTGGATTGTAATCTAAATCATTTTTGGTCAATCCATATCCAATCCAATCTAACCATTTATCACTCCTACCAATACCATTAAAGTACAAAATGAGAAATTTTATTCGCAGCAATACATGCAAATTATCTAAAATGAACATATCAAAAAATATTATTTTTTTCTGCATCCCAAAGGCAGAAAAACCATACTTGAACAACACTTGTTTTCTTATATTATTGATCAGAACTTTATACATATGAACAAGAATTGACATGAAAACACTTGTACAGACAATTGTAAATATACAATGTCAAGATCACAATATTGACACAATCCACGAACAATAAATGAAATAAGAAATGAATTTCTAGCATCCTAGTATGACACAAGGAAAGGTAAGATCATGGCCATGAACTCATCATACGTCAGTTTCGCTGAGCCAGTATAACGCGTGTCTTTCTCCTTAAACTTTTCGGTCAAGCCCTGAGAATTGCAAAAGAGGATTCAGAGACACTAGTATGTATGAAGGAAAACACAGGTAGGTAGTAACAGGTTACACATACAAAATAAAGTCCATCAAGAAGTGGCAAATATGACAATGAAGTTAAGTTCCATTTCAATGCATTTCTTTTTAGAGGGAAATACTTCAGAAAATGCACATTATATCTGCAAGCGGTCACTCGGCCAAAAATATTTACAGCCTCTAGCCAATCTACATATATATACATCTGTTGGCTACTATTTTTTTCGTGTGGGGGGCTATTTATGTTTATTTCTCTTAATTTCTTCTGATCTGTAACCATAATTTATATTCAGAAAACTCAGAGAAGTCTTCAAAGTGGAATTCAATCCCCAGACCCTTATGATCAACTAGCACCCTAATGTCGCTAAGTGGAGAAGATAAGGTGACGGTGGGTGCAGAAACAAGGTGAAATTTCTGAAAATTATTTGAATTGATAAAATGAAGTATCCAAATTTAAGCAATAAATAGCTTCAGATTCAAATGTGCTAGCACCCTAATGTCAAACCATCGGGATGCAAACACGACATACCGGGACACCTAGGTGAATGTGTTGGGAAGGAACCACGACATATGTATGCATGATGAACCAAGATATTTAGCTAATTCTTACAGACGATGCTTGTTTGGTCTACCCTAGAAGTGTACTCCCAAAACAAACTACATCCATAAGCTCTCAGAATTCAGAGAGCATAAGAAAGAGAAGTACTTATGAGCTTAGTGACGTGTACAAGACCTAGATTTTCAGCTTCAGCTCATTGTATTAGCTTTTTCAGATAAAAAATTTCAGTTTGCAGTTAGACTTTCTTAGATATCCTAACTTATTAAAATCGGAGTTCTAATAACAGTTGGAGTAGCCCATCAGGTGCTGGTCATGACCTCTAATTTGAGTTGTAACACTTCCGTCTAAACTCCGTATTATAAGAAGGATAAGATTGCAACGACAAACTAGGTTAACACTTGTAACTGTTAGTCTCCTCTCCAAGCCCAAGAGAAGGCACACTTAAATGTGGGGGAGAGATAAGGGGAAATACATCGAAGCCGTGCAGATGTATAAATCAAGATATTGAGTAAGGAAATGCTTATAGAAAGAGATCAGTTCTTTTACCTTCACAACCATCCCACATCTGCATCATAAAAACATAAAGTTCAGAACATAGTCAACTTGAAAACCCATCTATTTAATGAAAATGTGATAGCAGTATCAGACTTACTCGACAAAACTATCAAAACACAGCTCGGGTCTCCTACCACTTCCATCAGTATATCTGGAAATCAAAACTTCAAGAACAGAAGGTGGCACCATGTACCCAAGACTGTAGAGAGCATCCCTTAGTTCTGTTGCATCAATCTTTCCACTTCGATCTCTGTCAAATCTCTCAAAAATGGCCTGCAAACCAGAGGATCAAAATCTCAGAAACATTACCTAAAACTAGAAAAGTGGTAAAAAGATGATCTTGAAAACAAAATATGAGTGGCTATGGTAGGGCGTGAGAGACATATAGACACTAAGTGAATCTCAGTATTGGCCTCCATGTTTCTTTTGGATCTTTGTTTACTATTCACCTACTTTTCTTTTTATGCTGGCTCTGTGTGTTTTAGTACAAGAACTGTAAAGCTTTAAATTTTATGCATGGTATAGGTGAGTATCTGTTCTCGGAACATCTATAGCAACACTCCAAAATGTTTACCCATCACTTTCTGTGACTAATGTTCTTCCATAGGCCTACTAAAAAATTACCCCAGTACAAGGCCAGATTGGGCTACATATAACTTAATTTTGTATCATCCACCCCCCAAAATCTGCTTCCACCTCCTTATCTTTTACAACCCGCTCTTCCTCATGCGTTAAGTTTTTTTTTTTTTGTTTCTGCTAGAGGTTTTGATATTTAACTTCTTGAGTGTTATCCAACAATTAAAATCTAAAGAAGAAAGGAATGAACAATTGCCTACCCTCCATTGACCAAGACAGCTCCATAGTGCAGCAAATTCCTTTGGTCCTGTTCAACAATATAAAGACAAATTTCAGAAATAGCAAAACCAAAGCAACAAAATTAGATTAGCTATGTCATATAGCTAACAACCACAATATTTCATAAACAAACCAAGACACTAGCTATATAATCTATAATCGTCAATTCTTAATCAGAACAAGAACATCACCATTGTCAATTTGAACTACCTTCATACAAAGAAAAAGCTATACAGCGAAACCCAAAGAGCTAAACTTCAAGAGATGATTAAAATTTAGCTAAACAAGTCTATATTAAGAACCCCACAACCAAAATCATAGAAAAAAACTTGCTTTTATTTTCGAACTCACCAATTCGTTGAAAAGACATGGATAAATTATATTGCCAGCATTTGGACTCTACCACCACCACCACAAAACAACAATAAAATCCCTTCTTTTTCCTAATCACCATTGTTAATTTGAACTAAATTGATATAAAAAGTAAAGCTACATATGAATCAATTAGCCTACATAGCAAAAAGCCAAAAAGCTAAAAATTCAAGAAATAAGTAAAATTGAGCTAAACATATCAATATAAAGAACCCCACAACCAAAATTCCTTCTTTTTCCAAATCACCATTGTTAATTTGAACTACATAGATATAAAAGTAAAGCTACATATGAATCAATTAGCCTACATGACGAAAAACCCAAAGAGCTAAAAATTCAAGAAATGAGTAAGATTGAGCTAAACACATCAATATAAAGAACCCCACAACCAAAATCATAGCAAAAAATGCCCCCCCCCCCCCCCAAAACTCACCAATCCTTGGAAAATACTCAGATGGATTCTTGAAAAGAAAGATTAACAAACGAATAGTCCTTAGACTAAACCTTTGGTAACCAGAAGAAAGAGCTTGTTGCAGCTCTTTCTCCTCAACAAACCCACTGCAATCCCTATCTACCATCTGAAAACTCTGAATAACTTGTGGGTCAGTCCCCGGAGGAAAGCCAGAACCATAATTTGGAGGATTCTGGTAATACCCAGAACCAGGTCCATAACCAGCTGTTTGCGGCTGAGCCTGATGAGGATAATTTGAGTAATTTGCATAGGAAGTAGAAGAAGAAGGACGATATGGGTGGGCTATTGGTGGCTCATTTGGGTCGAAGAGTGGCGGCGCAGAAGGAGAATACGATGGTCGGCTGCCATAGGAAGAAGACATTGTTGTTTGGTGGTGAGTTGGTAACGTTTTTTTATGTTTTTGTGTATGATCTTATTTATTATTACGATAATTTTGAAATATATTTATATTTTTTTATTTAAATAATTAAAATCGTATTTTAGAAGAATATAGATGTATTAGAGCTAATATGAAAATTAATATTATAGGAGTATTATTTTTCTCTAGTACCTTATTCAAACGATTTCTTGTAGTTTAAGGAGTTGTACCAAACTAGATAAGATCATAAATAGCACAAAATGCATATACAAATGTTAGTCCGATTCGTTTTTCAATTTTGAATACGAAATCGTTTTTGTTAATGAATATTTCACCTCCAGAAACTTCTTAAAAAAAAGTTAGTCCTGTTGAATTTCGTTTCTTTTGACTGGATAGATTTGTCTATCTGTCTTAAATATATGTGAGTTTATTTGAGTATAGCGTATCTAATTTTAAACTTATTACTCATGTATCTTAAAATATATATATATATATATAGACTTACCAAGATCATATATCTAAATAATTTTATAATTTGATTAATATATTAACTTGACCATACCAACCATGGTGGAGAAAGTATTAGTGCTATTGACGACTTTGACATGGTCATTATTTGCCAAGCAAGTGCACTTCCATTTGGCTTTTTATTCTTCATATAAATCATAAACTATATTAGCTTGGAAACTTAATGGAAGGTGTTCTATTATTATCATATAAAGTGCAGAAGAGGAACCCCATTCGAAAGAAAATTACATTGTATATATAAAGTCTTTATTCTTTAATGCATAAACGTATAGTAGATGACGAATCCCTTTTTTCACAACTGCTAATAACATGGTACCGAACTACCAATAGAAGCTGCTTCAGTAGACTGATAAGACAGACTAAACTAACCTAACCTTGACATTGAAAATGATAGCTTCAGTAAATTACTCATGTCTCTGCATTTCTGCTTCTGTCAATGTTGCTGCACTCTTATGCATAATAACATTGAGAACTTCAACGTGGATTCGTCAAGTCTATTGCACCAACAACTCTTGCACCGCGAAAAAAATAGTGCAAACCTGAAAAAGGCACTAGGCAAATAAGAAAAAAGATCCAAAGATTGGGAGATGTTCTTAGACTCTACCAATTACCACTCAAAAGAACAAATGGAGACTCAACGAGTATGATTTGATATGCATATAAAGTGAGCCAAGAAAAACATGGGAGAGGAAGACTCACCTTGCTAAAACAACCATGTCGATGAACTGGCCTGACGAGGTAGCAAGATAAACTCAAATTTACTTTCTGAAAATAGTCCTTTTCGGGATTGTAGTAACCATTATCAGGTTTCATGTGTATTTGCTAGCTTACAAGATAAACATCCTTTTCGGGTAGCTTAGCAAGACCTATTCTTGTCCTATGAAATGATCAACCCTTCCTTGATTTACTTTTTATGTTGTTCATCAAATATTCACCCAACCTAGCGCCAGCCTCCACTATTCTCGTTTCAGGTTTTATCTCAGCTTGAATAAGTTGCACCAAGGTATTCCCTATTTTTTCAGCTGCATCCCATTCCAAGATAATGGATACGATTTCTTCCCATGTATCTGTATGTAGGGGTTCACCATGACTCAAAATACTCCCCGCTACTCCACAAGCTTCCTCAATTTTACCTAGGTTACAGAAACCTTTCACAACAGCGTGAACCACAGAAAAATGCGGAGAGAAGCCTTTTGACATCATTTCCACCATGTAATTCTTAGCCTCATCATACATTCCCTGATCGCTAAGACCCCCAACTAATGTCCTATAAGACACCAAATTGGGAAGACACCCGTTTGATGGCATGTCCTCAAGGATTTTACAGGCATCAGCAGCACGACCTTCTCGACAGAATCCCAAAATGACTGTATTGTAATGGACAATGTCAGGATTGCAACCCTTTACTTTCATTCTGCAAAGAAGCTTGTAAGCCTCCTTAAATTTCTTTTTCCGACACAAGCTGTTCAATAGAGTGCTATAACTTAAAGCATCAGGAACAAAACCTTTATTCAGCATATCCTCCAGCAAGTCAACAGCTGTATTCACTTGACTTTTTCGACACAAACCCTGCATCAGAATCCTATATGACTCTACATTAGGACTGATCTCTCTCTTAAACATTTGATTAAACAGCGAGTAGGCAATACTTAAATCATCATTCAAACAGAATGCCCGCATTAGAATGTTGTAGGACTCAGTGTTGGCCAAAACTCCGTATGTATGTGCAGATCTGAAGAGATCAAATGCAGGGCGAAGAAAGTTCCGATGAGTTACGAGGATTTCAAGAATGAGGTTGAGATGCTTCGGAAGGGGCTTCATATTGAATTCCAGGATAGTATAGAAAGTTTTAAGGGCTCTGTCAGGTAGGCCAGCATCACCATATATTTGGATGATGTGCGAAAAAAGAGATGGGGAGATGGAATAATGCTGTGACTTAAGGGAAGAGAGGACGGACTGCATGAGGGAGAACTGCCGGGAACGGCCAAGCTTGAGGATAAGGGTGTGAAAAGTAGCATAGGAGTGCTGAAAATCGGGTTCTCGCGAGGCTAAATCAAAAATTTCTTTAGCAAGGAGTGGATCTGATTGGGAAGCAATAAGCTTCTGGACTCGAGCTGGAGAGCCAATAGATGGTCCCTGGTTCGTGTTTTGTTTATGTTCTTCATCTGCTTGTCTTTGTTTTCTATCTTGCTCTGGCTGTTGTGTGTGATAATGGGATTTAAACTTGTACCAGGCAGAAAGTGGCTCGGCCTTTGATAGCCGAGCGGAAGAACACATTACCAGAACCAAGAGGTCCTTGGAGCTGAAGTGATGTGAAAGCATTCTCATTTTTTTCGATCATCAAGCTCTTACGTCTTTACTTAGTAATAGCCTTGATAGCCACTTCATTATTTTTGTACTTTCATGCGATGGTGCTCCAGAAAGCAAATCAGTGTCGTGTTTGCAGTATTTAAACAAGACCGCCTACTGAACTGGAGACAACAAAAAGTTACACATGGGTGAAACAATGATAAGAAACATAGGTGAATAATAGTAACAACAATAATCAGTAGAACTGTTTACTGAACTCAAAAACTCATATAAAACAGAAAACAACTAGACTAAGCTTGATGAACCATGCTTGAGTAACCTAAAACGCTAAGAAGTATCAAGAAACTCAATAACCCAGAAATTTTTTTTGTCATTGGCTTGCTTCTTAAGCTCCAATAGGAGAGGGACTTGCTCAAACGAGCTTGAGACTAAAAGTATAATTATAGAGATAGTCATACTAATGCTAGGTAAATCTTCCTACAGATGAAGAGCACAATCTTCCTCTCTGAAACATTTTTTTGAACATAACAGCATGCACATATGAGAAATTTGACTTCTGTTCAGCAGATTAATCAAAGCAAACTTTTCGAGATGACTGTCCTGAATACACAGATGAAAATTTCTCTTTTCTAACACCATTCATGTTTGCATTTACACAGTTTTTTACTTTCACATATGGAGCAACAATGATATAATTCTTATGGAATTTTAAAGAGGAAGACTCAAGGTAGCCCAGTACAAAATTAGAAAATCAGAAGCGACCGATGCCTACAAGGGAAAGGAAAAATAAGATCTAATTATATTTATGGGAATATGGTCTGATATACCCCTCAACTTTGTCATATAGAGCTGATATACCCCTTGTTATGAAAGTGGCTCATATATACCCCTACTTGTAAATAAATGGCTCACATATACCCTTTTCATCTAACGGAAATGAAAAAAAAATAATTTTAATCTAAATCTTTATTATTTTTTTCTAAAAAATATAATTTCCACATGAGTAAATTTAATCCTCGTCAAGCATATTTTTTTTGACTTTTTTATGTTTCAATGACTAATTTATAATTTTTATTTTGATAATCAAATTTATTTATGTTTCACTTATATTCTTGTAAAACTTATTGTAGATGACCAAATTTTTTCTTCGAATACGAAATTAAATTACAATACACACAAAAAAAATAGTTTAATTTTTTTTCTTTAAACTAAGGAATGAAAGAAAAAAACAAAATAAGAATAAGAAACTCAAATAATTATAATAGAAGAAATCAAAAATAATTTATGTATGAAAAATATTAAAATATACCTTGAACTTTGATAGAAGAATCATATAAACCACTAAATAATTTTTTTTAAAAAAATAGAAGTAATAAGTATAAAATTAAAACTATTTTTTTAACTTCCGTTAAATGAAGAGTATATGTGAGCGATTTTGTAACAGCAGGGGTATATGTGAGCCGTTTGTATAATGGTAAGGGCATATATGAGCCACTTTTATAACGAGAGGTATATCAGCTCCAAATGACAAAGTTGAGGGGTATATCAGACCCTTTTCCCTATATTTATTGATTCCTCCAATTTTTAGTCCAACTGCTCCTTGATTCAATAGTTGTGGTTTACCACCTACTAATTGTTTTTCTTTCTAACTAGTAGAATCAGTTGAGCTTGTAAATCAAGCCCTCAAATTTAGTTATCTTTTGGAAAGAGGGTGCTAAGGATATCGATGCACAAAAAGTTAGGAGATTACATTATAACAAGAGGGTGGCAAGGACATTGATACACAGAGTTAGGATCATTCATTTTCAATTAATCTTTAGAAGGTGATAAACTGATACAAGAGCGACTTTCAATGACAACTACAACTTCTACACCTCAATCTTAAGCTAGTTGCTAGGGATCTATACTAGAGAAACTACACAATAGAAGAAAAAAGGGCATACATGAAAGCTATTTACTCTTCCACTTATTATTTATTTTGCAGAGGGTTTTTCGTAAACAAGTCCACTTTGCATCAAAGATTAAAACTTTAGACCAATTGGGCATCTTTGTTCACTCTCTGCCTAGGCCTGTCTGAACTCTGAAGTAAACATTTTTTTAAACATGCATGTTTTAATTAGACCCAAATTGACAAAAGGGGTTGCTCGGTGGAAGCGCTCTCCACCTCCAACCTTAAGCCACCTTCAAATTGTGGGTTCAAATTGACAAGGGAGTCAAAAGGCAAAAGGCGGATAAATGAAATTAGACCCAAATCCACCTTTCATCTTGCCTAAGCTGTGTGAACTCTAAAGTAAACATTTTGTCTAACACCTAATGTGAATGTATTAATGTAAAGAACCAAATCCATTTTCATCAAAGATTAAAATTTTAGACCAATTGAGGCATCTTTGTTCACTTTCTGCCTAAGACTGTCTGAACTCTGAAGTAAACATTTTAACCAACACCTAAACATGAATGTATTAACAAAGAATCAACACCCAAAGGTGTGGTCTAGTAGTCAATAAAATGGGTTGAGAACCATGCCATCTCAAGTTCAAACCCCCTCAGAGACAAAAAGCACTAGACGACTTCTCCTAATCTTGGTGGATAAAATTACTTGGTACGTATTGCTAGTGAAAGGTAACATGTATTTCATGGAATTAGTGAAGTTGCGTGTAAGCTAGCCCGAACAGCAATAAATAATAAAGAACCAAATCCATCTTTCATCCAAAGATTAGAACTTTAAACAAATTGGTCATCTGTTTTGCCTAACCCTGTGTGAACTCTGAAGTAAACATTTTGTCAAACATTTGACATGCATGTTTCAATTAACCCCAACTCCACCTTTCATCAAAGATTAAAACTTTAGACTAATTGAGCATCTTTGTTAACCTAAGCCTCCCATAACTATGAAGTGAACATTTTGTCCAACACATGTATTAATAAAGAATCAAATCTATTTTCATCAAAGATTAGAACTTTTAAACCAATTGGGCTTCTTTGTTCCTTCTCTGCCTAAGTCTGCACACAAATCTTCAACCTAAATGCTTACACAAAGAAAGAGAAGTGAAAAAGTATTCTTACAAAATTGATGATGGTTAGTTGTTGCAGATAGAGAGGAGACTCCAACAGGTTTGTTGTTGCAGAATACTAACATTTGTCCAAAGTGTTTTTAAAATCGAACCCAAATTGATAATTCGAATAGATAAAAAGTTGTTGATTTATTTTTAATGTGTTATTGCTTTAACGGTTTTGATTTTCTTATTATTAGGGTTATCGATTCAAACATTTAAAGTTTTTTCCAGGATGTGTTAGTATTATTTTTAAGCAAGATACTCGTTTCGTCCATTTTTGTTTGTCATATTATGTTTTTTTAAAGTAATTTGATAAATTTTTAAATTAAATTAAATTACAATGATTCGTGATTTTAAACAAAAAATTTAAATATTCAAAAATTATATGAAAACTACTATAAATTGTAATTTTTTTGCATGATATGATGAAAAAATATATCTTAAAATATTAATTAAAGTTCTTATAACTTGATTATAAAAATAGAAATCATGACAAACAATAGTAGACGGAGGAAATATAATTTATCCAATTCATGAATTCATGTCATCATGTTTCTAAATGATTTTCAATTATTTATTTTTTTGCGTCAAATCTTAACGATTAATTCGAGAATCAAACAATAACTGATAAGCCAATATCTTAATGGATCTTAACGGTTTAACATGTCTACAAATCGATAACTGGTTAGTTGAACCAGTAAATTTCAAAATCAAGCCGAGTCGACTCATACGCAGCCCTATTTGACAATTCACATATTATGTGTATTATATCAAATAGAATATGTATACAAATCTAAATACTCCCTCCATTCTGGTATTGTTTGTCATGGTTTCTATTTTTAGAGTCAAACTATAAAAACTTTGACTAATATTTTAAGATGTATTTTTTTTACATATTAATATGCAAAAAATTGTAATTTATAATATTTTTCATATAATTTAGAATATTTAACTTTTTTTGTTTAAAATATCAAACTAATATAATCTAATTTTCCTTTGATCATTAGTCAAATTGATTTTGAATAAGCGAAATATAACAAACAATTCCGAAAGAAGGAAATATTTAGTTATGCACACATCAAAATTGACATTTCGATCCGAACCACATTGAAAAACACATTTATATATTATATCGATAAAATCCTCTTCCTTCCATGTAACAATTTCATGGCGGGAAAAGAAACCTAAAACCCCAAAAATCATCTTTCAGTATTCAGCCAAACACACACAGAGAGGGGAAAAATGGCGGAGATAGAGAAGCAGAACAAGGAGAAGGAGAAAGTAGTAGCAGAAACAACAGTGCAAATCGATCAAGAGGGTCTTCCCAAGACTATTGTACGTAGGCTTGTGAAGGAAAAGCTTTCTCAGCTATCTACAGATACTGATATCTCACTTCTTCGTGACTCGCTTCTTGCTTTCTCTGAAAGTGCTCGAATTTTCATCCATTACCTCTCCGCAACGTAAGGTTTAATGGGTTTTGCAGATTAGTTTCAATTGTTTCTTATTTTTGATAAATTTCAGTTAATTCATGGAAAATGATAAAAAGGCTTGGAGATTATAGGTGTTGTTTCGATTTTTTTTGATCCGGAATTCAAATGGGGTTTTGTTAAATTTTTGTTCTTTTACTGATTATTTATGGATTCAGTCTTAAAAAATTGAAATTTAGGATTGTTTGTTTTGTTGCTAAAAGGTAATAGGGAAATTTCTTAATTTTTGTGATCTGGGATGTGTATTGGGTATTCTTTAATTGATGATGACGAAACCTGCTGCGGCTACCCTTTGGGTGTGCACAGTGTAAACCTCACTTTGCTCCGGTGCAATAGACGTGAGAGGTAAATTGCACTAGGGAAATCATATGTGATGAGGTTAAAGCAGAAGTTTAACCCCTTGTTGTATTAGGTATTACATTTTAGTTAATCAGCTCACATGCATCAATTTTTGAGCGATTAGGTCGGATTAACCCTAAGAGGTAGAATTGTCTTGTTTCTTAAAAGAAGATTTGGTGCTTTTGAATTCCTGTGAGTTTAAAGGATTTTGATTTAAAATGTCATCCTTTTGCTGATCTACGGTGAAGTTATTGAGTATTTTTAGGAACTGATATAAAGCTGAAAATTAGGATTGTGTTGATAGTGATATTGGCGTGTTGTTGAAAGAACTTTGGGAACTCTGTGAAACTGTGTAATCTAGGATTTAAGGGGTTCTGTGTATTAGCTATTTCTTTTACTGATTGATATCTAAGTTTTAGTTGATTAGTAGGATGAACACTAAAAGGTGGGGATTTGTGAAAAAGAAGTGATATATTGTGATTCTAAGCTAGTGCTGGAGTGTGAATGAGGTTATTTATTGGTTGATGTAAAACATGATAAGGCTGCTTTGTGTTGACAGTTGAGGAAATGAAGAACAGGTTGGATTAGATATCAGTGATGATACAGAAAGATGGAAAAATAATTATGTTTTCATGTTTCTCTTTTGTGATATTTCGCTTCAATGAGTGATCTCATTTGCAATGTGCAATTGCAGTGCTAATGACATATGCAAGGAGTCTAAGAGGCAAACGATAAATGCAGAAGATGTGTTCAAGGCCCTTGAAGAGATTGAGTTTCCAGAGCTCATTGAGCCTCTCAAAGCTTCTCTTGAGGGTCAGTTGCTTTTCATTGTTCTAAATTTTTTCGACAATCTGTATTTTTCTTGTCATGAAGCTGAACGCTTTCCATCTTAGGCTACATACTCTTATCCACTGAATGTTGCATACAATCACAGGTCAACATTTACTTTATACATATGTTGATCAAAGGAGAAATAAAAGTCGGTAATAAGCCAAATATACCCATGGTGTTGTGTTAGGGCATAGAGCTTCAAAGAATTGAATAGTTAGTGAGGATTATGGTCAGAGATCTTCCAAGCTGTATCAGAGTAGCATGTGTGTCAATCCACCAGGTCTAAAGCCAATGTTGTTTATTTAATATGGTAAAAGTTCTATTCATAAGGTACTAAGGTACCCAGAAGGCACACAAAAGTATGACAACAACATAGCCCCCTACATTCTACAATAGAATCAAGCTACATAATTTCCAAGTGAATCCAAGTAATCCAACCATATACTGCTCCATGTTCTCCCTCTTCACACCCAAAAAACAAACTATGCAGGCGCAGGTTCTTGACTCTACTAAATATGATTCTTTACTCTCAAAACAACATGCACTATTTCCTTCAGACCAGAAAGGTTGATTGCCTTCGTCTCCTGGCTATTATCGTCGAACAGATGGAAACTGTGTTACATATTTCTATTAGGTTTGTCCAGAAATACTCTATAAAGGTCAAAACAACAAGAAAGAGCTGAAATTAGAAAATAAATGCTCACATTTGAAGACTGAATTTTTGAGAGTTGCCTGGCACACTAGCTCTCTTTACATTATACAAGTTGAGCATATTAGTGCTTATTGAACACTCTGAGTCACTGATCTCTTTATCAGTGTTAAACACCAAGTCTAGCAAATTTACAACTTTAGTAGTGCATCTCTATATAGAGAGTCCTAAAAAACAAGGTCCTGACTTTGAGATGGAGGGAGAGGGAGTAATTATTTGAACAGATTAAGTTTTAACATTTGGGCTTATTAATCATTCTCTTCATATGAATTAGAAGAAAAAACTGGCTCATTAAAATTTGTAATCCTGACTTGTCTGGGATCGATCATTGTTGATTCTAATTGATCTCTTAATTCGAGTTTCCTGCTGTGATAAGTTTCAGGCTGGTTAAACATATATCATTTGTTTGTCATGTGTGTTACATCCTCGAATTGTTAAATTCAGAGAACTCTGTGCAATATCAGATGGATACATATATGATAACTAACAGATTCTTGCTTTAACTGCCTACCGTGATCTGATTGGAAATGAGGCAATATTTACTGTAGTGATGAAATGGACTTACACCTCTCTTTGCTTTACATATTCTTCTCTCTTTTTACAGGATTCAGAGAGAAGAACTCTAAAAGGAAGTCAACGTCATCTAAGTCCCCAGAATCTAACAAAAAGGCCAAGCTGAAAGAGCCTGTGGAAAATGGGAAGGGTAAGATGAAAGAACAACCCTCGGATAACGAAAATGAAGATGCACAAGCTGAAGAGGAAGTCAATGAAGTTGAGGATAGAGTTGATGATTAACGAGATTATTGTTTGCGCTTGCCTTCTTCGTTAGACATTTTACTCGTGCCTTGTTAACCCCCCCAGAAAAATGTAATCTTATCTTGGATGCAAAGTTAACAAACAGTTTGTAGAGCTTTATTCTGGAGTAAAATGAAGTTCTTTGGGAATTGGTTTGTCCTTTTTGTCCATCCTCGTGTTCAATGTGTTTATTTATGTCATGATTTTTCGATTGTCTCATCTCAATTTTTTGTATATTAGTCGATCAATTTTTTGGAACATGTGTCATGGACTCTGTTTGAGTTCAAATTTTGTGGATCCATTGATAACGACTTACTAAATGATATATACAATTTTCGAAATGGACACGACTTTTTTGAAGTTTGTGTCACAATCTACATGTCCATTGAACACAAAGGCTTGGATAACTACGTCTTCGTCCCAAACAAATTGAGATTACTACACGAATTCTCACTGACCATGTAGTGTTCAATTTTGAACAACAATCATATGAATGAACATACCTTTGGAACTAGAAAATATGTTACTGCTGCAACACTATAACAGTTTACTGAAGATCAGGCAACAACAGTAAATATGCAAGGGAAGAACCTGTACCAAAGCAGAATCGTGGTCGTTTAACGAGGGTGCAGAGAAGACATCAACAATTCCACATAAGACGCTAAAGTTGCTTATTAAACGCTGACAGGAGAACGAGCCATAATGATTGCTGCAAAAATATCACTGAATTGGTGTACACAGTAGGAAGAATGTGTTGTTTGCTAATGTTTAACAGAACATTCAAAGGGGTGACAGCATACAAGAAGACAAGTTAAGATGAGATGGAAAGGAAAACGCGAGGATGAATCCATCCACAAAATCATCAGAGATTCACTATTTTTCCAACTTATGCAATCATTTGTCTGTTTTCTCCCCCTCTTCCTCCTTCTCACCATATCGGCGCTTAAACTTTGCAATCTGACCAAGACTTTGAGCCATCTGACGCCTTGCTCTGATGTGATAAACCTTGCCTGTTTGGTGTATTTTAGTCATCATAACATGCATCAACCGTCCACTTTGCGTCACGTAGGATATCCATTGCATTTGAGGGTGAATTCCTTTCTTCATTTTTTTCCTGAAAATGAACTTACAATTCAGTAGCAACATAGTCTTCCTTACAAACTAATCCAAGTGGTATAACAAATAGCCTTTTTTTGGGTCAACTAGATCCTTTTATATGAGAACTCAATTTAGCTTTCATCAGAACAATGTGAAGTACAAGAGATTTCCTCACACTGGCTAAATTAGATACATCCCCCACCCCTGCCTCAAACAAACAACATCACAGCTCTACAAGAGTTATTCTTCTGCTTTTCGGGGGATGGCAGTCTAGGCTATATGCTAGAGCCTGCTAAAGCCTTTAAATGAAGAATCAGAGATTGGGAAAAGATGAATTTCTAAGAAAAAAAATAACAAAATGATATTCTGTTAACTCTGGCAAAAAAGACACTATAAAGGTGAATGGATAAAATCCCATATTTGGGCTGTAACATAAAAACTACTAAGACTGAATTTTGCAAAGCCAAGATTATTTTCCCATCCAATACTACTTTCAGTTTCTCCCTCTAAATCCAAAAATAGAGCCTTAATTTAGTAACAACAGAGTACAAAGGCAGAGGCTAAAGCAAACACCAAATTTTCCCTGAATAGCAGGAGAGCACAACTACCTCTTGAAGAATACCTTATTCCTTGTAAGAAAGGAAAAAGTATAAAAAAAAAAAAGAAGAAGAAGTTCAATAATGAAAATAAACATGGAACCATTATCACCGATATGGAAACTCTACTATAATACACAAAAATATTGATTCTTATCCAATTAGAATTTGATATCCTTTATTAGCAATCTAAAAGCCAGATTAGAAAACTATCACAACTTAGGGGTGTTTGATCATCAAAATGCCTAAGAAAACATTTTCTCTAGGAAAACAAGTTCCTTAAATACGAGGAAACTGACTTCCCCAATTAAACTAGGGAAAACATGTTCAATATAACATTCCAAGTTCATTGTAGTCTACTCCCCACCCACCCAACCTTCCACCTCTTGACCATCCCACCCTACACCACCCCCTGAATCCCCAATCCCCACCCTATCCTACCACAATAGTGTTTTGTTAGATTACATAAAAATGCTCACAAAGGGGTGGCAGTTCAGTTCTTCGGATTTGTAAAAGTGTGCACCGAACACCCAACCGAACTAATTCAGTTTTTTCATGCAAATGACGACCAAATTATCAAAGTATTAAACCAAATTCTTCGTACTTCAGTAAAATTCCACATTTCATCACATTTTTCATACTAGTTCATACAACAAAATCACAAAGAAAGCAAATGAGGAGTAGGCATTTCAAACCAAAATCAAACAGTTTATTGAGGCAATTTACCAAACAGGTATTAGACATTTCAAACCAAAATCAAACAGTTTATTGAGGCAATTTACCAAACAGGTATTAGGCATTTCACGACTCACTTCCCTAAACACAAACATAGCTTTAATCAACTGCCTACTATCATGATTGCAATATAGATTCATCCACAAAAATACCACTGAAATAACAAATTTGAACTCAGAGAAAAAAATAAATTTCGATGGAGACACAAAAATACTGAATCACATAACTAATCATAACAAAAATGTTTTAGGGTTTAGGGTTAATCATTGTAATCTAAAGACAAGTGAACTTACAACAAGATCACCGGAAAAATTGACCGGAGAATTAGCAAATTTGCAGGAGAAGAAGAAGCAGTATAGTTTGGGGTTCGAATTTATTGAAAGGGGATTTTGTGGGCTAAGAAGCCCAAACCATTTTGTGAGCAAAGCCCAACAAAATAGATCCGACAGAACGTTCAAGGTCAAAAGTCAAAACTATTAAAATCGAAAATTTACTCAAAGTCAAAATTTCAAGAGTGTCAATCCTTGGACCAATCTCGGTCCTGAGATAATTCGATTTGTATCTAATATGGACGTTATAGCATTGTAAATAATCGAAAAGGATGCACATGATATCAGATGAAATCATCGAACCGATCTCGGACCTGAGACAGTTCGATTCATATCTAGCGTGGGCATTAGAGCATAGATAAGAACTTTCCCTAAAACGAGAGAACTAGAAAGGATCCACCTTTGGTGTATCGGTTATTATGTCCACTATAAATGCTTAACCATAAGGAACAAATAATTACGAAAGCAAAAAAAAAAGCGAAATAAATCTCTTTATCGATAACCTTAGTTCAATCAATAGAATATTGATTAATACATAATTGATCGAACACTACTTGAAAACCACCTCATCTCTAAGACCATTATTGTAAAAATCATCCGGTTTAGAAAACTTCTTTATTTCTACAACACTGAACTAGTCACTTCAGATTGATTATAAAGATGGTTGTAAGTACAACTGAAGCTCTCGAGTTTGAGTCCGAAAAATGAAAAGATCACCTTTGAAAGGGAGCGTTTTACCCACCAAAAGTGGGACTTACCGACACGAATTCATTGCTAATGAAAACAAAACTTTGTACTTCACAAGAACAAAAACACAAGAATTACATTCAATTTCCATATGCCAATGCACCAACAGAACCAAATGTGTGAATTAAGAAAACAACAGAAAACCTGACAAACAACAAAATTCTGGTTCAAAAACACAGCTATTTATTCTATATTTAAGGTATCAACCCAAGAAAAAGATAAGAGTTTGATCCAGCTTCTGGTACAAATTTTGAATGAGCAAATCTACTGTCTAAAGCTGAACTGGGAAACATAAAACGATACGCTCTTGGGAGGTGACACCGGTTCAACTGCTCTGAGTAAGTCAGAAATACTTGCTGTGATGCTACATGTAACCCTTTGTTGCAAAAGTTTGGACTTGTTCATTGGTTGTCGATGATATAACTGTTTTTTGTCGAATTGTACAGTGAGTTTGGAGGTACCTACTTCCCGTCATAACCTGTGGTGTTGAAAGATGGATGCAACTTATTTCAAGTACTCCAATGTGCTTTGGTTAATCTCATCGAGGAATGAAACGAAACCCATGACACTTGTAAAGCCACTTCCTTCAACGTCTTGTTCCTCTATTAGATAGTTCTCAAACGCCGTTGCATCATCCTGCCCTCCCTTGATAAATGAAAGTCTCGGTGTAATACACCTCTCTTGCTTAAGCTTGTTTATTGTTGTTCTCAGTAAACCTGGTTATCAACATCAAAGTTCACATCTCAAAAATGCACCATTAAGGTTCCAGTGATACCTAATGTAACAGTGAGAAGATATTTGTTACTTACAGTCCTGAGGTGGCGGAAACGGAAGTGAAGGTTCTGCTGTCGAAGCATAGAACACAATGAGATTTGTGAATGCATCAAGGAAAAATATCGAACTGCCACTTGTAATCAGTGCAGCTCGGCTGAGGGAATGTCGAGGATATGCTTGCTTATCCGGTGAGGCATATGAGGTTAACAATGGATATACAGCACGACTAAGAGAAGAAGGTTCTAGTGCACTGCATCAAAAGTCCAAAGTCGTTAACAATAAGATTTACCACCCATCACCCCACAAAAAATTGACAGCAAATCAAAATATCACAATACAAGGAGTGACGGTCATCATTTAAACATAAGTTGAAAGGCCATATTTCCTCTTTCTCTTCTTTTATCTTTTTATGTAGTGACAGATACTGTGATTGTGTGCACTCCAGAGACAACATATAAAGTTCTCTTATGTATACCACCATTATAACCCAATGAACTGTTGAAGATATGTTTTAAGCAGAAAACTGAAATAAGGTGGCATCTCTATTTGACCAAATCTTTTAGAGTAAGATGTAAATACTACACGTGTCACTCCAGAGATGATAGTTCATCTTTTACTAGATAACAAGTTAATGAAGAACTTTGCGTCTTTGTGAACGGAAAAAAAAGTTTGGTATCACTATGTGTCTATGTCCATAACCATACTAAACTAGGTAGTGCTAAAAAAACTATACTTGAACTTTGATCCCTTTAATCCAGACTTTTGAAGTATTACCAGATACCTCTTTCAGTAGGATACTTGAAGAGACTTCCAAAGAGACTTACATATTCAAATCCCAAAAGTTGCATAGAAAGATAACCTTATAAGTTATATGTATATGAGAACTTACCCAACGAATTATATGACAAGTCCATTCATGCATAATATTTTCATAACCATGCTTTTGTCAACTGGAGAAGGGAAGAGAGAACTACAAGACTTTCCCTTCTCATGTCTGCCTACAGCAAAGAATTGGAGAGATAATTTCCCTTTCTGACCCTTTGGCCTTTTTCTAAGACTAGGGTTGTTCATCACTCTCTTGCTCTTTCCTCGGAAGTCTTAAAACTCTCTGATATAGTTCCTTCATACAATACTGAACTCCAACTTCGAAAAGCATACTGCCATCTTATCCCATTGTCATAGATCAGATTTGTCTAAAAGCTCCTCCCTTTTTTCAAATTTTGTTGTCTAAACAGTCCCTTCTCACATTGCTTCTGCTAGCAGCCTCTTTTCCTTCTTTCTACTTTCCTTTTCTTTTCCTTCCCTTAGTTTCCAAGCAAACATTTACCTAAGAATGCGTTCTGCATATCTTATTTCGAGTTGAAACTTAAAAACAAGTATTCAGTAGCTAAATTAGTTTATTCCAATGTCATAATCTCTTCCCATATCCAATATAACCCCCCCCCCCCCCCAAAAAAAAAAAAAAGAAAACCGAGGAATTAAAGAACTGAAACTCTAATCTTATGAGCTAAGTAAGAAAATAACCCACATGAAATATATCAATACCTAAAAAGACACTGAAGATATATTCGGTAGTCAGGATGCACGCCTTCTTCGTGTAAACGGAGAAGAGGATTTCGTAATAGAGCAAAAACCAAGCGGGGTAAAGGCTGCAGTTGAGGACATTGGGAAAATGCAACATCAATGTGAACGCCACTTGAACCACCATGCCCAGACTGAATAAGTTTACAAGCATCATTATACTGAGCTGTAAGAATAACAAGCCAATCATGAAGTAACATTCTGCCCTCTCGAACACCTTGCTCCAACGAGGCTAGAATAACCTAAGAACAAGGAGAATTATTCAGCACAAGTAAAGAGTAAACTTATCCTGCAATTCAGAAAGCATGATTAATAATAATGGGGCAACTGTAGTATATAAACCAAACAAGGAAAGACATGATATGTTTGATCTTAGACAGATATATCTAATACTCTACCAAATAGTTTTAGCTTACAACTTGATTTGAGGCATTTCAAGAGTTCCTCTCATTTCAAAAGAGTAACTCTCATTTTATCATATTTTTTCCTATGACAAAAAAGAAACTTTTGTGAAGTTTGTAATCAGTCTGCCAGATTGTGATATCAATGCATTAATAGGTATAATCTATATCGAATTTTGTTGTAATATTGGAAAACAAATTGAACTCTTGAAGTCTAGTTTCCAACTGATCAAACAGTTGGTGAGGTTTTCAGATAATGCATATAGGCAAACTACCAAAGTGCAGCAAGTTCATCATAAGTTGTTGTATCTTCACTTCTACAGATCAGATAGTCCAGTTAATAGCCCTGATGAATTTGTGTTGAAGAGAAACATGAAGCCAAGTAAGACATACCTTGTGGACAAGTAATGAAAGCACCACTTCAGAATCAACACAGTCATAAATCTCATTTATGCTATGACCTACTCCAAACTGAAGAGTTCGAATCCTTAATCTCTTTTTGAGAGAATGCTTTGCTCTGCACAACACATCCACTGCTTAGAGCATATCTAATAGAAGATGATTCAAAGGGTATCCATCAGAAAAAGAACAGCAAAAGGAGTTTTTCCTGGCTCAAAGCTAGAGAACCACAAATTATAGAAAATGTTTTAGAATTAAAGAAGAAAAAGAAAGTAAAGAGAAACTACAGTAATGCAACATAACTAAGAAATGGCCAGATCCAACTGCAATTCAGACAAACATTAATTCCAGAATTCTCTACTTCTAGAACCACCATCCATTTGCTGTCTAAGTACTTAGTTCACTTGCATAATTTTAAATTGAATCAACTTTTAAATTGGGAACAAAGAGGTACCAAACACCATATATAATAGGTGGCTCTTCAAAAATACACTGCTAAAACATTTAAGCACCCAACCACCAAGGGCGAACTAGAACCAAACTTCTGCCCAGCCACTTGTCTAGTATAATGACATACTTTATGGTTCTTGTTTTTTTGAGTTCTACTAGGTGAGAATCAATACTCATATTTATATAAGAAACATATTTGTTGATGGTCACTGCTACCTGAAAGGTAGTAAAGCAGCAAAAAGGCCTCTAGTAAGAACACTGTTACCTTGTTGTAGTATTTGATCCTGCATTTGCTAGTTCATCTGGTGGGACAACAACAGTATACTGAAAAGCAATTTGCAGCATAGGCAATTCTGAAGTATGCCTGCAGAAGAAAACCATTCTTGTATTATTCCGTAAAAATTCTAGCTCACACAAATGATTTTCACTGACATTGGCAAAAATAATGCTTACAAGATGCAGTGGAACACATAAAGAAATTGGCCCAGAGCAGAAAATAAAGAAAATAAATGAACTTCGAAAATGATATAGTTATCAGTATGTATCTACCAAACTTATTTTAATCAGATAACTTTATTAACACATGAAGATGGTTCTGCTATACATAAAGCTAATACATGTATATTTCAGACTTCCCTAATC